CAATGCCCCCCCCCCCCCCTCCCCCAAGAGTCACACCTCACATGTGGACAATGACCAGGGAAAGAGATCGTTGTAGTAGGAAATTGTGAAACTCTTCTGGACTTAGTGTTTATGACTCACCCGTGCTGATCTCCGGAGCTTCCTCCTCTTTAACCTTCACATGTCCTTCTTCCTCCTCCTCAGCTTTGACGTCTCTCTGGGTGCCTCCGGGGTCTGTGAATAAAGATGAGAGTGAAGCCCCCTGTACTGAGATGTATGAGAGACCCCAGAGAGTGTGTGTGTGGGGGGAGACTGGTCACGTCTCTTGGCTGGTAACACACAATGACATGATGTGAGGAGAGCCGGAGTCTAATAGAGGCTGATGGCTCCTGACTCCCCCCACTAGACACATTCCGTCCCCCCATTACTGTCTACTGACAGAGGAGGGAGGAGAAGAAGAGATTGTTGTAGTGACTGAACAAGGAGAATCTGGGACTCTTTTCTGGATTTAGTGTTTATTACTCACCTGTGCTGATCTCTGGAGAACGTTCCTCCTCCTTACACGGCTCATCACCCCTCACATGCGGCTCTTCTTCATCTTTCACCTCAACTTTAAGATAAATCAGGTTTTCACCCTAAGCAGCAAAATAAGACAGAATACCATATTATATTGTGCTTAAACGTATTAATATTACTTTGCTGGATCCAATAAGACTCTATAACGATGACATAGAGCAGAATCACATTATTAATCTCACATACTTGATCCTCCTGAGGGATCTCCTGATGTTCCTGTGTGGAGTCGTGGGAATACAGAGGACGGGCCTGAGGGATCTCCTGATGTTCCTGTGTGGAATCCCGGGAATACAGAGGACGGGCCTCAGGGATCTCCTGATGTTCCTGTGTGGAATCCCGGGAATACAGAGGACGGGGACATCTCTCTGGGGTATTTCTGTTCCTGGATCCATCTGTAGGAAACACACACACTGACTGAATACAATGTTTCTATGTCTTTATATCAGAGGATGTGTGTATCTAGGGGGATCCTCAATACTCAGGAAATGAAAGTCTCCTCTTACCCGGTGATGTGGGGGGCGGCCGGTTCTCCATCATGACGTCCTTGTAGAGATCCTTGTGTTCTTCCATATGCTCCCTCTTCGTACCTGGAATAAATGAATAAAATTACAAACAAAAATGTAAAATGTATCTATAAGTAAATCCTAAAACAGAGCACATGACCTATAAAACGAAGCGCCACAGAAAATACTGGAAAATATTTTAGGCGTTGTCACAGACATTTCCTAAGGTACTTTTCTACTCCCCTACGAGCATACGTCCCCATCATTCCCGGTGTTCTAACGAGATGTCCAACTTGTTGAGATCTCCAACTCCCGTCACTTAGAGCAATTGGGCAAGTCGACGAGGCTTGTAAAATACCAGGATTGGCACACGCGCTTTAGCGCCGTCTAGTCGAAATCTACAATGGATGTGACGTCACAAGTTAGAGATCTCGACGAGTTGGCCATTACAACAGAACACCCGGCACCAACAGAGCTAACCATCTAATGTTCTACACATCAGAGGTCTTGCAGGAAGATGATGATTTGTTGGGGTGACATAATCCCACCTAGGGTTGCCACGCGTCCGGTTTTGACCCGTACAGTCCGGTTTTGGTGTGTTGTGTACGGGTGCCCAGCCAGCGGGCACCCGTACACAAGACACTTAGTGCCGACACCGGCACTTTACATTTTCTGAGAGGTGCGGCTGCTGAGGTCCTAGTCAAGTGCGATCTCGAGCAGCCAAATCTGCCTGAAACCCGGGTCTTCCTCTGAGGTGGGGGCAGCCTGTGTCTGTGCTTGCAGCTCAGAGAAAGAGTCGGGTTTCAGGCAGATGTGGCTGCTCGAGATCGCACTTGACTAGGACCTCGGCAGCCGCACATGTGACCGGTCCTCCTCTCGTCTAACTCTGGTGTTCTATCACATAGAGAAGAACGAGGAGACATACAGAGCAGCACAGCCGACCCCAGAGTAGCACAGCCCACCCCAGAGTCGCACAGCCCACGCAAACTACAAGGCCACCTAAAGACATTACTCTCTCCTTTATATTCTCCCCCTAAAACAATTTGACGCGCGCAGCGCTTGAGTGTTCGGGTTTCACTTGAAGAAAAGGTGGCAACCCTAATCCCACCATCCAGTCCACACAGAGTGCTGGGACCCCCTTCTCTCATTATAAGAAGACATTATTACCTCCTCCTCCCTGGGCACACACTCTCCAGCAGCTGCTGAAAGCAGATACAAATCCTAAGTTTGCTTTGTAGGTTTTCCCACCAGAGCTACAACAAAATGGCCGCCGATTTCCTGCACTCAGCATTCCATCAACTCTGCGCGCGCGCGTCACCATAGCAACCAGTCAGCAGCTGGAGGAAAAGCTTCGCTTTGCAAGGCCCAGCTGCTCCCAGGTTGCTGTGGTGACGCGCGTGCGCAGTCACAGCCAAGACCGTGGGCGCGGCGGCCATTTTCTTGTAGCCCAAATGAGGTCCAGACAACACTCAACCAAACTTTTCCCTGTTTCCGGCAGCTGCTGGAGCTGCCAGGCTGAAGAGTGTCTGCCCAGTGAGGAGGAGGTAATAATGTCTTCTTATTATGAGAGAAAGGGGACCCAGCAGTCTCTGTGGACAGGATAGGGGGGATCATGTCACCTCTCAACAAATCATCATCTTCCTTCAAGTCCTCTGATTAGGGTTGCCACCTGTCCAGGATTCACCCGGACCGTCCGGGTTTTGAATGCTGTGTCCGGGTTTCATGGCAGCAGAAACCCGGACACAAGATGTCAGGCAGACGGGGCAACCAAAATTAAGATAGGGACTACTGGTCCCGCACTGAAAATAGTCTCAAGTGGGATATTTACATATGAATGGGCGGCACTATTCATATATGAATAAGCCACCACCCATTCTCCCTAAAAAATGTCAGCGCGTCGCTAGAGTGTTCGGGTTTCGCTTGAAGAAAAGGTGGCAACCCTACCTCTGATGTGTAGAGCCTTCTAGTCTTTTATATAGAGAAGGGAAAGATTAACATTTCTTTCAGGTTTATATTGCTTCCTGTTTTACTGTTGGGGAGATTTCACTTCTCTTCCTGTTACCAGGGCAGGAAGTAAGAGAAAATGTCCACAACGGGGTCACAAACAGCAATCAAACCTGAGAGAGGACTACTTCTTCCCTTTCTATCCTAAACTACTGTAAGCTTTGCCTATTGTTCAACCGTAAAGATTTAACAGAATGATACACTCTCTGCTATATAACTTATACTTGTTCCTGTCAAGGTTTCATCAATTATTTATGTAATGTATTGCAGTGCGAGCTTTAAACATCAAAGATTGTTCCCAGTACGGTCTTCAACATACTGAGGAGTGGGAGGATTTAGAAGGATCTCTACAAGGACGTCATGATGGAGAACCGGCCGCCCCTCACATCACCGGGTAAGAGGAGACTTTCATTTCCTGAGTATTGAGGATCCCCCTAGATACACACATCCTCTGATATAAAGACATAGAAACAATGTATTCAGTCAGTGTGTGTGTTTCCTACAGATGGATCCAGGAACAGGAATTCCCCAGAGAGATGTCCCCGTCCTCTGTATTCCCGGGACTCCACACAGGAACATCAGGAGATCCCTCAGGCCCGTCCTTTGTATTCCTGGGATTCCACACAGGAACATCAGGAGATCCCTCAGGATGATCAGGTAGATGGGACTGAGGGTCTATATGAGTTGGAGTTTTGCTTAGCAAGTCACATATAGTAGTTGTATTTTTATTTTGTATTTTAAGAGTGAAAATTTGTGTAAATTTGAAGTAAAAGAGGAATCAGAAGAGTCGTATGTGAGTGATGATGAGTTGTGTAAGGAGGAGGAAACCCCTCCAGAGATCAGCACAGGTGAGGAATAAACACTAAATCCCGAAAAGAGTCCCAGATTCTCCTTGTTCAGTCACTACAACAATCTCTTCTCCCCCCTCCTCTGTCAGTAGACAGTAATGGGGGGACGGAATGTTTCTAGTGGGGGGAGTCAGGAGCCATCAGCCTCTATTAGACTCCGGCTCTCCTCCTCACATCATGTCATTGTGTGTTACCAGCCAAGAGACGTGACCAGTCTCCCCCCACACACACTCTCTGGGGTCTCTCATACATCTCAGTACAGGGGGCTTCACTCTCATCTTTATTCACAGACCCCGGAGACACTCAGAGGGACGTCAAAGCCAAGAAAGAAATACATGTGAAGGTTAAAGAGGAGCACTTTCCCATAGAGATCATCTCGGGTGAGTAATGAACACTAAACACAGAAGCGATTCACAGAAAAGGGACGTGTGATGATTAAAGAGATGTTCTGTTTTGAAGGCTTGGATCCATTCTTTGTTAAGGACCAGTGGTGGAATTTTGAAGCTCTTTTTAAAAGTTGTAGAGAGAGGATCAGAGTCTACAGACACAGATGTGTAGTATTAGGCCAAGCATGGCTTCCCATGATCTGCCTGCCTATGTTATCTAAGTGGGACTGCCCTCCAGATCCAACCAACAGAGAAATATGGTATTGGCAATCTGTTTGTATCATTATCCTTATTTCACTATGTGCATGTCTCTTACAGATGGATCCAGGAACAGAAATACCCCAGAGAGATGTCCCCGTCCTCTGTATTCCCGGGATTCCACACAGGAACATCAGGAGATCCCTCAGGAGGATCAGGAGACCCCTCAGGAACATCATGAGATCCCTCAGGCCCGTCCTCTGTATTCCCGGGATTCCACACAGGAACATCAGGAGATCCCTCAGACCCACCCTCTGTATTCCCGGGATTCTATACAGGAACATCAGGAGATCCCTCAGGAACATCAGGAGATCCCTCAGGCTTGTCAAGTAGGTGGGCTTTGACCGCACCTTATTTATGATGAGTTGAGTATTTTTTTCGTCACCTTTGCATCTCGTATGTCAACTGCCACATCTTGGCCAAGGGAACATCTATGGTTGGAAGCAAAATAGAAGAGTATAAAAGTTGCCCAAATTTCCAAACCTTGGATGGTTCCATTTGCAACATCTTGATGTAATTTTAAACATGGTCATTATAGTCTAAGTCACATAGTAAACCAGCACAATGCTAGTTCTTACCCCTCGAAGGAACATATACAAAAGCATCTGTGAGCTGGAGGAACATTTATATCAAATGATCTCACTTATCCTTCAATGTCTTATCCCCTTACCTTCATCTCTGAGCCTGATGAAGAACGGGACCGTGCGTGCCCCCGAAACCCCTTGCAACCGAGAGACAGCATACGCCAATAAATGAACACTTGATGCAGTCATCGATTTGGTGTGCTGGTGACATTCTTTAATGATCCCCTTTAACCTGTCTCTGTACACCTCCCCCGAGAAACCAACCATCTATAGAACTTCTTGCTTCCAGATCCCACTCAAGATTTTGAGATCTTTGAGATGTTCCAAAAACTGCAACCACCCAACTTTTCATACAGCCGCACAAATGAGGGTTCCAGCATACAAATCCAAGCTCCAACACCATCAGAGACCTCACTCTCTGATGCATTTCGCTTGGCCTAGGAGACCTCTATTAATCTCAGTGACTAAGCCCATTGGAGAGGGAAGTCGGATTCCTCGGTTGTGCGGCTGTGTTAATTCCCTCAGCAGTGGCATTGATGCAGAGCTTGGACGGGCCCCTCAAGGGCTGTAATTAGGGATGTCCCGATACTGATACTAGTATCGGTATCGGGGCCGATGACGGGCATTTTCGTGAAAATGCCCCGATTCTTAAGGCCGATACGGGCCCATCACATTTTTAAACGGCAGCGTCTGTCCTAGTTCCCGCGCTTGTGGGGACCTCGGCAGCCTGCTGGGAACCTGCAGATAGCTGTCCATGGCAGTGCCTGTCAGGTTTTTTATCTCCTCCTTCCATGGACAGCCCCGGGGGGCGGAACTACGGGCAGTGGAGCCGGAGCAGCCGCCCCAGGGCTAGAAGCTGGGGGTTTCTGCGGCCGATTGACAGGGGAGGACTGGGCCGGGAGAAGGATGGAGGTCGGGGGGCCCAGCAGCGGTGATGGTCGGACGACGGAGAAGATGCTGGGTCCCAGCCTCGCCGGTCTGGAAGTGGATGTCACCCGGGTGAGATCGACAAGCAGCCTGGTGAGAGGAAATCTGCTGTGGGGACAGGTATTCCCAGAATACCTGTCCCCACAGCAGAACACATGTCCCTAAGGCAGAATACTATTCTGCCTTAGGGACATGTGTTCTGCTCTAGGGACATGTGTTCTGCTCTAGGGACATGTGTTCGGCTTTGGGGACATGTGTTCTGCCTTAGGGACATGTGTTCAGCTTTGGGGACATTTGCTCTGCTCTAGGGACATGTGTTCGGCTTTGGGGACGTGTGCTCTGCTCTAGGGACATGTGTTCTGCCTTAGAGACATGTGTTCTGCTCTAGGGACATGTGTTCGGCTTTGGGGACATGTGTTCCGCTCTAGGGACATGTGTTCTTCTCTAGGGACATGTGTTCGGCTTTGGGGACATGTGTTCTGCTCTAGGGACATGTGTTCTTCCTTAGGGACATGTGCTCTGCTCTAGGGACATGTGTTCTGCCTTAGGGACATGTGTTCTGCCTTAGGGACATGTGTTCAGCTTTGGGGACGTGTTCTGCGCTAGGGACATGTGTTCTGCTCTAGGGACATGTGTTCTGCTCTAGGGACATGTGTTCTGCCTTAGCGACATGTGTTCTGCCTTAGGGACATGTGTTCGGCTTCGGGGACATGTGTTCTGCTCTAGGGACGCGTGCTCTGCTCTAGGGACATGTGTTCTGCCTTAGGGGCATGTGTTCTGCTCTAGGGACATGTGTTCTGCTCTAGGGACATGTGTTCTGCCTTAGGGACATGTGTTCGGCTTTGGGGACATGTGTTCGGCTTTGGGGACATGTGTTCGGCTTTGGGGACATGTGTTCTGCTCTAGGGACATGTGTTCTGCCTTAGGGACATGTGTTCTGCTCTAGGGACATGTGTTCTGCCTTAGGGACATGTGTTCTGCAGCTCTGCCTTTGGGACATGGCTTCTGCTCTAGGGACATGTGTTCTGCTCTAGGGACATGTGTTCTGCCTTAGGGGCATGTGTTCTGCCTTAGGGAAATGTGTTCGGCTCTAGGGACATGTGCTCTGCCTTAAGGACATGTGTTCTGCTCTAGGGACATGTGTTCTGCTCTAGGGACATGTGTTCTGCCTTAGGGGCATGTGTTCTGCCTTAGGGACATGTGTTCGGCTTTGGGGACATGTGTTCTGCTCTAGGGACATGTGTTCTGCCTTAGGGACATGTGTTCTGCTCTAGGGACATGTGTTCTGCTCTAGGGACATGTGTTCTGCTCTAGGGACATGTGCTCTGCTCTAGGGACATGTGCTCTGCTCTAGGGACATGTGTTCTGCTCTAGGGACATGTGTTCGGCTTTGGGGACATGTGCTTTGCTCTAGGTACATGTGCTCTGCTCTAGGGACATGTGTTTGGCTTTGGGGACATGTGCTCTGCTCTAGGGACATGTGTTCGGCTTTGGGGACATGTCCCTGGGGAGAAACTGCCCTAAAATCATCAGTCTGTGTTATTTTAGAAAAAATGTCACCTGTCCCTTTTAAGAAAAAGTATCGGTAATTGGTATCGGCGAGTACATGAGGGACTGTACTTCTACTTGGTCTTAAAAAAGTGGTATCGGGACATCCCTAGCTGCAATGGCAGGTGGTTGTAATAGCGTAGTTCATGTTTATTAGGGATTAAGGGAAGTGAAGGACCATTTAAAAACACGGTCAGCATTTGAGCTTCGAGTTAGGACCGCCGTTCTCTGGTTGGTGGCCATTTTGGGTTGTCACTCATTCTTCTGCATGTTTCCGTTTAGTGGCTCTCGGGGTTTGATAACATTTTCTGTTTTGCATTGTTATTTGTTCTTCAGGACGAAAATTTTGACGTCATTAAAGTCGAAGTTAAAAAGGAACCAGAAGAGACAAGTGTGAGGGGGGAGGAGCAGGAAATCGGCACAGGCGAGTATCGAACCCTGATGATAGCGTTACGGATCCTCCTTGTTTAGATACTATAGGCCTTAAAGTGAACCTGTGCTTTGCTCATGCACGCTAAAGTGTAGGCTCCATCAATGACCCCCCCGCCTCCCCTCCTTCTCTTAAGCAGCTGAGAGTAGGAAAGAGCGATGTGCGCGCTGCGTGGCATTTTTCATGAGCTTACAGGGCACACTGCAAGGGTTAACTGCTCATTTACGTCTGTAAACTTACATTGATCCAGTGCTTGATTAGATATAATGTCACATCCAGAGGGCCTCTGGGGATTCTGAAATACACTGCAGCCCTTGGTCACTTCCGGGTGCTGCTGGTCCGACGTTGAACAT